TTATTATTATTATTATTATTTTGATGTTTTCAATTGACTTATACCAAACAAAAGTAGGTCTCTTGCGCTGATATCGCAGGTGGCATTATACTGGGCTTCGACATAGACCACCGTACAATTGTAATACACAATAGAGGATGCCATTTTGTATACAATTTAAAAAATCCGACTTGTGTTTATTTCTTTATTTACAAAAGCACAACATGTCCTCTTTATTTAAAGAGCTATTATATGTGTCACGGCGCGGTGGAATCAGGCGCTCGTCAATTTTTGTGCATGTTGAGTAATTGGTATCATCTAAAAGCTTATTCGTGTGCCTTGATGACGATGAAAAAAGTACTCATCTATCTTGAATAGAAATTAAGATATCTGTGATTGAAGAAGGTGATGTTGCCTGGTTTCAGTGGAGAAATTAGCGAGAAAATGGCTGCCAAAAGCTAAAGAGCCCTTTTCAACGGAAAAATGATATTTTGTGCCTTTAGCCAACGTTTTTCTTTAAATGGCACATGTAAATGTATTTTTACATGGACATACAAGATGATGAATGAAAAAACTAAAAATGCGATTTAAAAAATTCCAAATTGTCGTAAAAATGCACGTTACTTTGGTTTGGTTATTTTGACGAGAGCCTGATTCCACCACGCTGCCTCACATATTGCATTCTTGTACTAACAATGAAGGAGCACTTGTCCTCGATGCACCATTCTGCAAAATAATTTATGTGTCACGACGCGGTGGAATGTTTGGTGACTTCCAAACCTTGGGAGTCCTGGTAGACTACGAATTTTAACATTTTTGGGGCCTTTAAATTCTTTTCCTGAAAAATGAACACAGAAGTGTGTTTTTAATCAGAGATACATGGTGTTGAGCCAAAAGAAACCTCACAAACTTCGATAAAAATTGACAAACTGACGGAAAACGCTGATATCTTCAATGTCATTATTTTATTTTGACGAGCGCCTGGTTTCACCACGATGCCTCACATAACAGGAACGATAGAACGAAGAGACAGGTATTACTGTCTGACGTGTTCTGTTTCAGATGGATATTTGAGCCCGTAGCGGAATGTTTTGGTGACGCTCTTAACACCACTGTCTGTAGATCTGTTGGAAGGGATCTTGATATGGCCCGAGTCGCGGGCGATATGCGAGCTGTGATTACCTACAGTTGCAGTCCTGAAGGACGCTCAGGTAGATTTCTATTACATTTCTTGCTTCCGTTCATTCCACTTTACTCTACAATTTAAAAAAAATAAAATTTATGTAT